TGTGCTCGCTCGCGCGAGGTTTCAGCTGGTAGATATTTGGCCTCCGAGCCGGGGCCGAGGCGGACGACGGAGTCGGATGGGGAGATGAACGCGACCAGGGAGGGCAAAGAAATTGAGGCGACGGGGACGCACAACATTATGTGATATTGCATCAAGGCTCGCTCGCATCCGAATCCGCACCCTGAAATCGTAAGTATATGAATTCTGTGAGTCGTTATCCAAGCACCTGCAAGCGTCTTCAAGTGGGCCCACACTCGCATCGGGGGCGACGATTTTAAAGCGTGTTTAAAGCCCCTCACGCGCTCCGCATCTCCTCGGCGCCCTGGGCAACCGAGGGGCGGGGCCGCGTGGAGAGACGGCGGTGAAACAGGAGGTGGGGGCGATCGGTGAAGAGGCGAGCGGGGGGGGCCGAGGATAAGCGAGCTTGGATGCCAGGGGCGCGCGCGCGCGACGGGTCCTGTCGGGAGCGTTCGCTGAGGCCGTCGCAGCTGCCGCCTCTGTGTCACGCCGCGGAGCGATGCGGGCCCGCGGACGCGGCCGCGCGCGAGGGGGGAACTCTCCGCTCGCTCCCCCATCTGCTGTGCTATGCTCTGCCGCGTGGCCCAGCGCGGGGCCGACTGCCCGCCGCGCGCTCAGCTGACGAGCGTGCCGCGCTAGAGAAAGGCAGCCACCTCTCCCGCCGTCCCTTCGGAGTCTTCGCGGCCATCCCCCAGCCGGCGGTCGCGGTCGCAGCGGGCGCTGATTGGGGGGCTCCAGCTCGCAGCCGCGTGTCTATCGAGAAGAGCCCTAAGGTCTTGAACGAATTGTGCGGGATGCGCGCCATTTTCGGCAGGGCCCAAGTTTCTTTGCGAAGGATGTGGGGCGATGCGGGGAACAACTGGGCTGTGTTGCTGAGGGCGCTGGCGCAGCGCGCATTATGCAAGGTGATAGAAGCTGCTGCGGGCGACCGGCTGGCCGCCGTCTCCCGCGCCCGAGCCCGCCATTTTCGCCCGGCAGCTTCCCGCTCGTCCTCCGGGGGCGCTCCTGGCCCAAAGAGGATGCCGAGGTACTTCGGGCAAACCTCGCTCGCAAAGGCGCTCCATGGGGCAACCGCTGATCGCGAGAATTGGCGAATTTGATATACGATCGAGTCCTCGAGACAGCTCCAGAGCGGCGCCGAGCAACACTTCTATGGTTGGAGGAGGAGATCACAAGAGCAGCAGCAGCCTCGAATGGATGGGGGGAAGGGGGCGGGGGGGTGCTTGGTGTTGGGCGGGGCTGCTCCTACATCGTCGACGCGCGCTCCCGGATCACCCCCGCAGCCTCCAGCGGCCTCGAGGGGCGACGCGAGAGCTCTGGCCAGGGGGTCCATGCCGAACGCCCAGAGGGCCTCTGAGAGAGGGCAGCCTTGAGGGCCCCCCGAAAAGAGAATGAAGAGCCCCCGCGCTTCCCCTCCGACGCGGAGAAAACTGGCAACATTGCGCGCGAGAGTTCCGATGGCGCAGCGGATGGGCCCAGGGGCCCGAAAACGCGCGAAGACTTTCCCGCGCCAAGCGTGGCTCATACCTGGGAAAGCGCCCGCATCAAGGCTGATAAACGCTGGCGTCCGAATGTCTGCGTCAGCTCCTAGACTGGCAATGCGGCGCTGTGTGCCGAAGTCTATATGTGTGGCGAGCGAAAATTGCGCCCATTGACACATCCCTGCTGTGCTCTGTGAGCGTGTCGCCCCGCGACTTGGTTGAGGCGACTATTCATCGTGGTGGCCATCGCTTTAGCGTCGCAGTTTTTCGCTGGGTCGAGCTCCTCCTCGCTTTTAAGCATAAGAGCGAATCTGCTGTGATAAGGGGGGGGGGGGGGGGGGCTGGGGGGGCGAGAGGGGAAGGGCGCGGGGGGCGACGGATAGCGTTGGGCGGGCGAACCGCGACTTGTAGGGGGCGATCGGGGCCAGGAGGGGAGGCCTTGCCCCGCCCCTGGGCTTTCGGGAGGTCCGACAATCTAAGGGGGGGGGGGTCCAGAAGGGCAGGGGAGTGGATGTGTTCGTCTATGAGGGCATCCTGGGCAGGGGTGTCCTCTGCCCCCTCTTTAACAACTGGCTCCCAGTGCTCCCGAATGGCCTCTGACATGTCCTGAGCTCTTCGGAGTATCGTCTCTCTGTGCGCGGGCCCGCTTCACAGATGGAATTGGGCATGGCCTGCCCCGATTTGGCCGCCTCAGCTCTGGCCTCAATCTTAACGTCGACAATCGCATGATCGCTGACCTTCCAGCGTGACAACTCCTGTGCATCATTTCGAATGTCCATCGCCATCTTTGGCTCGCGCAGAAAGTGGGGAAAAGTTAGGGGGCGGCGACGTGACGATCCGATCTACGCAAGTCATCTGATTCGCGTGCTTGCCAACATGCGTCGCCATAAGGACGGCAATCTCGGTCATGCGCTGGGAGCTGTTGATCAGATGCCGCCAGGGCGGCCCCCATGTCTGGCTCTTCCTGCAGTGGGGTGTCGAGCCTGGCGCGCGCGCGGTCGTAGTGCTCGCGCGGGTTGTAGCGGAAAACCAGGTCACGCAGAGCCACGATAAGGCAATGACGCGGGTCGGCAAGAACCCAGCTGCTGTTCCCCTGTCAGCGCGCTTTCATCTTCTGCCTATGTGCACCGTTCAGCTCGTAGGTGTGCAATTGCATGTTCGTGCGTCCATCTTGGCTTTGACGTTTTGGATGGGAATCATCAGGGTGCGGCACTATAGCTTTGTGAACGATGATGGGGATTGCATCCTGCTCCAGCCTAGTGTCATCGATTATCGAGATGAGCGTTGCCACTCCGCCCGCGCCGACAACGTCTGTGCCGCTGAATCAGACCTTGTAGTTGTGGACTGTTCGTTTGATCAGGTTCTGCAACGTCATCTGGAACGCGTGAACATCTTGCCGGGCGATGATGGCCTACTGCTTCTGCAATTCGTGCAACTTGGACTTTTCCCGATTCCTTTGGACCGGTCCCTGCGCGGAAGGCTCCAAGCGTTCGAGGAGACGATCCCGCGCGCCGCGGGGCCCCCCGGTCGTGGACAGGGCGTCCAACGCGGGCTGGGGCGACGACCGGCTGGTGAGTCCACCGCGCGGAAAAGCTGCGTGACAGTGTTCAAGATGGCCGTGGCGTCGAGCTGCAGCGTGCTCTTCGCCTCTGGGCCCCAGCTGACCTGTGGCGGCTAGCCCGTGCCCTTGGGAGTGACATCCGCCACGGGGGGCGAGCCGCAGTGCGCCATGCCGATGTTGCGCTGCATCCACCAGTCGCCCTCCTTGGCTTTCTGGCAGAGGCTCAGGGGATTCTTCATCTGGATCTCGAGCCTGTAGCTTTCGGACTCTGGTCGGGGTTGAGCTTCTCTTGCTGACCGTCGGTGTTTTGCACATTGAACTCCTTCCATCTGCCGCTCTGCAGCTTGAGGTGCCTGGCGAGCGCCAGCGCTCGCGTCTTGCCCTCCGACCCGCCAAGCACGTGGACGTGGAACCACTTTTTCGGACTCGCGCTCGTTGGTCTTGATCTGGTCGCGTTGGATCCCCGCTGCCGCGAACCAGTCCGGCATGTCCACCAGCAGGTCCGACGGCGTGACCACCTTACTGCAGTTGGCCACGAAGAGCTGCGGGTCTGGCGGGCGGTCGCAGTTTGGTGACGTGGAGCATGTCGGGGTCGTCACTGCGGCCGAGCTTGTCCACCTGCGCCAAGGTGGCCTGCGCCGAACGGATCTGCGCGCGCATCTGGCTTGTGTCGGCTTCGAACATGGCCGTGGTCTCATTGATCGCTGCGATGTCCTGCTGATGCTTGTCGGTGCGCTCCGCTGCGGCTTGAGCTTGGCGTCGATCTCCGCCGAGAGGGAGCCGAACGAGGCCGCGACCGTGGACTGCAAGGCTGCGGAAGTAGCTGACATCAGCCGCTGGAGCTCCGCCTGGATGCGCTTCTCGACCCGCTGGCTGGAGAGTTCACCAGTCGCCATGGATCATGGCCTTGAAGTGGGTCCACAACTTCTCCGTTTCGGCGGTCTCCAGAGCGGCTGCGTTTGCCAGGCCCCCGCGCATGAGCAGCCGCCTCAGGCATGGCTGATGTGTTTCCAGAAACGGGGGCCAGAGAGAGAGAGAGAGAGAGAGAGAGAGAGAGAAAGAGAGAAATAGAGAGAGAGAGAGAGAGAGAGAGCAGCATAAGAAATATGGTATCTGACCTTGCTCCCCGAGGAGCTCACTGGTGTACAAACTCTGACGGATGCCGCGGACTAGCGGTATCCCTGCTGGCACGGAGGCGCGAAGCCCCCACTTGCAAAGCATCTTGGGCCACTGTGGCTACGGAGGAGGAGGAAGAGGAGGAGGAGGAGGAGGAGGAGGAGAAGGAGGAGGAGGAACAAAAAGGAGGAGAGGGGGTTCGGGTGGCTCACGCCCCTCCGCCGCGCGTCCGTCTCCTCCCCCTGTCAGGTTGCTTCCTGCACTCTCCTTCCTCCCTCCTCCTCCTCCTCCTCCTCCTCCTTCCCAAGCTTGTATTGCCGCCTCCGGAAATGGCCCCCGCAGGAAGCCTTATTTTGCTTCTGGGGGCCACACGCTGTTGTTGAACTCAGGAGTCGGCCTGGCCTGCTTCTCCCCCTGCTGCTTGCTGGCCCGCCTCAATGCGCTCCTTCCTTAGCCCAGGACGAGACCGAGGAGGAGGAGGAGGAGAAGGAGGAGGAGGAGGAGCAGGACGAGGAGGAAAAAGGAAGGATGGAGAGTAGGAGGCTGGGACAGACCAAGGAGGAGCAGGGGGAGGAAGAGGGAATGGGAGGCGGAGGAGGAGGAGGAGGAGGAGGAGGAGGAGGAGGAGGAGGAGGAGGAGGAGGAGGAGGAGGAGGAGGAGGAGGAGGAGGAGGAGGAGGAGAGGAGAGGAGGAGGAGGAGGAGGAGGAGGAGGAGGAGGAGGAGGGAGGAGGAGGGAGGAGGAGGACCAGCCCACCCCGTGCCCGGAAAACATCCTGAATACATTGGAGCCGCCTCAATAGAACGACCCGCGGCAAGGGGCGCCTTCTGCGCGGCGCGCCCGCGGCCGCGGCAGGTCGCCGCCCGCCTCGCGGCGAGCCACTCGCGCAGGCCGAAAGGCCCCACGGTGACCGCGCCCGCCGCGGACACACGCAGCGAGCGCCGGAAATGCGGCAGGAGGTCCGCGTCGCTGCCTTGGGGCGGGGGGAGGTCGTCCTCGTCATCCTGCTCCTCATCCTTGTCGCTCTTGCCCCTCCTTCCTCCTCCAGCTCCTCATCCTCCCCCCCTTGATTCTCCTCCTCTTCTTCCTCCCTCCTCCATTATTCTCCGTTATCCTCCTCCTTCGCGCCTTCACGATGCGGACAGGTCTGTCACCCTCCTCCTCCTGCTCCTCCATTTTTTTCTCCTCCTCGTCGTTCTTCTTCCTCCTGCTCCATGCTCCTTTGCCTCTTGCTCTTCTGCCTCCTCCTCCCTCCTCTTCTCACTCCCCCTTCCTCCCCCTCCTCTCTCCCTCCTCTGCCCTCCACCTCCTCCTCCTCTATCCCCGTTCGTTCTAAATGATCTCTTTCTGTCGCACTCGCAGACGTGTCGAAAGAGCGGACCAGGCGTTTCGCCTGAGACTTCCCCACCATCTATGATCCTGCAATTTGCATTCTGCAACAGTTTGAAGTATGGAGGGGTGATGGTTTTCACATAATGGGGCTCTCGCCCAAATGCCACGCACATTCGTCTCACAACAAGCAGCAGCAATTGCAAGGATGGGGGTGCGGCCGTTTTCAAAATCGAAATCTCGCCTTTGCGCCGAGCACCTTTGTCGCAAAGGCGTGCAGCAATTTCGAATATAGATGGTGGGTTCTTTACAACATGGGGCTAATTATCGCCTTGGCACCGCGACCATTCGTCTTGAAAGCTTGCAGACGTTTCAAAGATGGAGGATGGATCCTCTTCAGGATAGGTTTCTCGCTTCAACGCCGTGCCAACTAGTGTTAACATGTTGCAACAATTTCAAGGATGGTAGGTGGCTCCTTTTCAAACTGGGCCTCTCGCTTTAGCGCCGCGTGCATTCGTCTTGAATGGTTGCAGCAGCTTCAAGCATGGAGGGCGGTTCTTTTCAAACTTGGTCTCTCGCTTGAAAATCTTCGCTGCTCCTGGCCAGAAGCGCAAACTTGTGCAAGAGTCACACAAATGTGGCGACCTGTTTTTCAGAACGGTCATGTCGCAGGACACCTCGCTGAACTGTATGAACATACCTTTGCGAATTCCATAAGAATCGCTAGAGGGATGCAAGCCGGTTTCATGTTCAAAACGGGGCTCTCGCCTGCATGGCAGGCCCATAGGGTGCTGGTCTTCAAGGGGACGCTTCTTGTAGTGGAAAGCTTGCAGGGACTTCTTAGGGGACTAGGGGCTCCATCTTCCTCATCCGTCCCTCGTCGTGAAAGAAGATCTGTGCCTTTGAACGTTCTTTTGCTTACTTGGCTCTGCCTCTGCTCTTGGCGCCCCTGCCTGCCAAAATGATGGTGATGGCGGTGATGATGATGAGGAAGAGCAGGTCCGCGTGGCTGCCGGGTACCTTGAGGCCTGCTTGGCACTTCGAGGAGTATGTATGCTCGAGGACGGAGGCTCTGGATTTTCTGATTGCCTCCAGAAGCCACTGGATGCCTACTTCTCTTCCTCCTACATCCTCCTCCTCCCTTCTCCTTCTCCCTCCCTCTTCCTCTCCTTCTCCCTCCTCCTTCTCCTTCTCTCTTCCTTCCTCCTCCCTGAATGTTTTTTTGTCCGGAGGTCTCTGGCGGCCGGAGGTCTCGAACGCCTCCAGATGCTTCCAAAAGGGGAAAAGCACCTCTGCCATCGATCCTCGTCGACCCTCGATCGTCGTCATCGTCGTCGACGTCGTCGTCATCGTCACCGCCGTCGTCGTCGTCGTCGCCGCCGCCGCCGCTGCCGCCGCCGCCGACGTCGTCGTCGTCGTCGCCGTCGTCGCCGTCGCTGCCGCCGCCGTCGTCGTCGTCGTCGCCGCCGCCGCTGCCGCCGCCGCCGACGTCGTCGTCGTCGTCGTCGCCGTCGTCGCCGTCGTCGCCGCCGTCGTCGTCGACGTCGTCGTCGTCGTCGTCGTCGTCGTCGTCGTCGCCGTCGTCGTCGAAATCGTCGCCGTCTTCGTCGGCTTCTCTCCTCATCCGTTGACTCTTTGCCCTCCCCTGTCATCTTCTTCCCTCTTTCCTCCTCTTCTTTCCACCGCCCAAACCAGAAGGCCGTCAAGTCGGCCAACGTCGAGGCCGGCGTGTATGAGGGGAGGGTGCCGTGTCGCTTGCTCTAGGCGGGTATGTCGCCCACCCACCAGGGTGCAAAAGTTATACCCCAGTTCTCGTCCGATCGGCCGCCTCCCCCCCCCGCAGCCTCGCTTCCCCACCCTGGGGTTTCCTTCCCTTTTCTGATCGTCTCCCTCTCCCATCCTCGGTTTCTATGGGCAATAGGCATCTCCACTCCCCCTCCCCATTCACTTCCCCCCGTCGCCCCTCTTCTGCTGCTCCCATGATGCCTTTCGGAAGGGAAAACAAATCAGGCCTTTTTGACATAAAATTACGCCCGCCACACGTAGCCTGGTGAGGAACCAAACCCTTCGTAAACGAATGGCGGCTGTAAGCAGGACCGCTCCACGCCATGCGGACGCAGCCGCTGTGCCCTTCGGTTGAACTCCGTATGACGCACCGAAGCGTGTGAGGGGTCTGCCGAAATAGGGCGGAGCCGCATGTAGACGCAGCCAGTGGGCCCTTCGGTGGAGCTCCTTATGGCGCCACGAAGCATGCGAGGGGTCTGCCAAAGGGGGCGGGGCCAGATGCGGACGCAATAATTTGGACCTTCGGTGGAAACCCCTATGGAACCACAACGCGTGTCATAGGGGCTGCCGACATGGGACGGGGCCGCCTGCGGACGCAACCACTGGCGCCTTTGGTGGAGCTCCCTATGGGGCCACGAAGCGTGCGAGGGGCCTGCCGAGATGGGGCGAGGCCGCATGCGGACGCAGCGTCTGTGGCCTTCGGTGGATCTTCCTGTGGGGCCACGAAGCGTGTAAGGGGTCAGACGAAATGGGGCGGGGCCGCATGTGGACGCAACCGTTGTGGCCTTCAGTGGAGCTCCCTGTGGGGCCTCGAAGCGTGCGAGGAGTCTGCCGACATTGGGCGGGGTCGCATGCGAACGCATCCAGTGTAACCTGTGGTGGAGCTCCTTCTGGGGCCACGACGCGTGTGAAGGGTCTGCCGAACATGAGGCGGGGCCGCATGCAGACGCAACCACTGGGGCCTTTGGTGAATCTTCCAAGGGGCCACGAAACGTGTAAGGAGTCTGCCGAAATGGGGCGGGACCGCGTGCGGACGCAGCCACTGTGGCCTTCGGTGGAAATCCCACTTGGGCTACGAAGCGTGTGACGGGTCTGCCGAAAATGGGGCGGGGCTGCTTGCGGACGCAGCCCATGTGCCCTTCGGTGGGTCATTCCAGATGGCCACGAAACGTGTGAGCGGTCAGCCGTAATGGGGCGGGGCCACATGCGGACGCAACCACTGTGGCCTTCGGTGGAGCTCCCTGGAAAAAAGGGCCACGAAACGTGCGATATGGGGGCTGCCGACATGGGGCGGGGCCGCATGCAAACGTAACCAGTGTAGCCTTCGGTGGAGTTCTCCCCTTTATGGGGCCACGAAGCGTGCGAGGAGTCTGCCGACATTGGGCGGGGTCGCATGCGAACGCAGCCACTCGTGCCATCTGTGGAGCTCCCTATGGGCCCACGAAGCGTGTGACGGGTCTGCCGGAAATGGGGCGGGGCTGCTTGCGGACGCAGCCATTGGGTTCTTCGGTGGATCATTCCACGGGCCCGCGAAGTGCGTGAAGGGTCTGCCAACATGGGGTGGGGCCACGCTGGGCGCAATCACTGTGGCCTTCGGTGGAACTCCCTAAATGGCCACGAGGCGTGCGAGAACGCTGCCGAAATTGGGCGGGGCCGCGTGCGGACGCAGCCGCTGGGCCATTCGGTGGAGCTCCCTGTGAAGCCGCGAAGCGTGTAAGGAGTCAGTCGAAATGGGGCGGGGTCGCATGCGAACGCAGCTTCTGGTGCAATTTGTGGAGCTTGCTGTGGGGCCACGAAGCGTGTGAAAAAAAGGGCCTGCCAAACATAGGGCGTGGCCGCATGCGGACGTGGCCACTCGGTCCTTCGGTGGAGCTGCCCATGGGTCCACGAAACACGTGAGTGGCGCGCCGAAATGCGAAGAGGAACGACAATCATAATGAATAAAAAGGGGGAGGAGGAGAAGGAGGAGGAGACGCGCGGCGCTGCGGATTCAAACCGGGGACCCAACGCGCAGGAAGGTTGGGCAATTAACCTGGCGAAGGACCCAGCCGTGCGCAGCTGTGAATGCCGCGGTCGTGAATACCATCTTCGGTGGAGCTCTTTCTGGGGGCGCGAAACGTGCGAGAAGTGTGCCAAAGTGAGATGGCGGCGGCGCGCGGGCGCTGCCGTTGGGGCCTTCGGTGGAGCTTCCTATGAGGCCTTCGGCGCGGCTTCCTCTATCCGCGATCTGTTCGATGAGGGGGCGCGAGGGAAGCTGGGCCGTCCAAGATGGCCCTTTCCTTTTTTTCCTCCTCCCTCTTTGCCCGCGCGCTCTAAAGTCCGAGGCTGCGGGCGCAGCGCAGCGCGGAGTCCTCGCGACGCGCGCCAGTCGCTCCGCAGGGGTCCCAGCGACGCGCGCGGGTCGTCCGCTGCGCGGGGCAAAAAAAACTATCTGGCCGGCCGATAGCGGGCAAGGCTCTGGCCGCTGGGCAGAGCGACGGCGGGCGAGCGAGACGCTGGGCAGAGCGCAGCGCGGAGTTCTTGCGACGCGCGCTGGTCGCCTCGAGAGACTTCCAGCGCCGCGCGCGGGTCGCCCGCAGCGCGAGGCCAAACTGTTGGACAATCGAAAGCAAGCGCTGCTCGGGCGGACCAGCTGCCCAGGTCAGGCCTCACGGATAAACTCGGTGAAGCCTAGCTCCCTGGCGAGGGTCGTCGCATCTCTCCTGCGCCGCTTCGTGCGCGCCTCAAGCTGCTCCAGCTGCTTCCGCAAGCCATCTGGCGGCCCTGCCAGGAAGAACTCGATGCGCGGCGCCCGTATGAGCAAGAGGTCCTCGTGGCGCGTGGCGCGCCACGAAGGGACCACGAACCGTGTGAGGGGTGTGCCAGACTTCACATGCGGTGGGTGGGGAGCCGAATGTGGACTTTGCCACTGGGGCCGTCGGTGGAGCCCCCAATGGCGCCAAGAACCGTGTGATGGGTGTGCCGAACTGGACATGCCGTGGGCGAGGGGGGGCGCATATGGACTTTGTATCAGAGGCCTTCGGTGGAACTCCCTTATGGGGCCACGAACCGTGTGAGGGGTGTGTCGACATGGACATGCGGTGAGCGGGGTGGACGCATGTGGACTTTGCCTCAAGGACCCTCGGGGGATCTCCCTACTGGGCCACGAACCGTGTGAGGGGGATGCCGACGCCCACATGCGGTGAGCGGGGTGGGCGACTGTGGACGCTGCCTCAGGGGCCCTTCGGTGGGGCTCCCTACGGGGCCACGAGCCGTGTGAGGGGCGTGCCACAATGGACATGCGGCGGGCGGGGGGGGGGCGCATGTGGACTTTGCTTCAAGGTCCTTCGGTGGAACTCCCTTATGGGGCCACAAACCGTGCGATGGGTTGTGCCGACATGGACATGCGGAGGGCGGGGTGGGCGCATGTGGACTTTGCCTCTGGGGCCTTCGGTGGAGCTCCCTACGGGGCCACGAACCGTGCGAAGGGCGTGCCACAATGGACAAGCGGCGGGCGGGGGGGGGGGGCATGTGGACTTTACCTCAGGGTCCTTCGGTAGAACTCCCTTATGGGGCCACAATCTGTGTGAGGGTTGTGCCGACATGGACATGCGGACGGCGGGGTGGGCGCATGTGGACTTTGCCTCTGGGGCCTTCGGTGGAGCTCCCTACGGGGCCACGAACCGTGTGAGGGGCGAGCCGAAATGCACATGCGGCGGGCGGGGTGGGCGCATGTGGACTCTGCTACTGGGGCCTTCGGTTGAACTCCCTACGGGGCCACGAACCGTGCGATGGGTGTGCCGGAGATGTCATGCGGAGGGCGGGGTGGGCGTATGTGGATTTTGCCTCAAGGACCTTCGGTGGAGCTCCCTATGGGGCCACGAACCGTGTGATGGATGTGCCGAAATGGGCATGCGGTGGGCGGGGTGGGCGACTGTGGACGCTGCCTCAGGGGCCTTCGGTGGAGCTCCTTATGGGGCCACGAACCGTGTGATGGGTGTGCCGAAACGGGCATGCGAGATAACAGAGGCAAGGGTGAGAGGAGGGAGGAGGGGGAGGAGGAGAGGAGAAGAGAGGTGGGACGCGGGGCGCTGTCTCTTCAAAACGAGGACCCAACACCACATGATGGTTGGGAAAAACCTTGAAAAACGATTCTTGAACAAAGAGGAACGAACGAACTAACAAGCGCTGACACAACATACATTGTGTTCAGAAGATCCAAAAAAGAATGCAGAGTTCCAGCGACCGGCGTTTGCACATTCGCGCCTAATTACCTTATTCGTAAAGAACAATCCTTGTCCAAAGCAAGCCCCCTGTGCAGAGCTCGCCTAAAGCCCGCCTTTTTTCGGGTACCCGTTTATTTCCCCTGACTCAGACGTATTTGGTGTCCGTTTTTGTTCATATGGAGCACACCTGGAGTTGGCTCCTGACTCACATGTTCGTTCGGCATGTGCTTTTTCTCTATGTTACGACGTCGATCACTAGTTAGTTGGTGGATGCGACCCCGCCGCGTCGTCGGACCCAAACTCGGGCCTCCGGCGGCTGTTCGGGACGATCCAGGCCACCCCCGAAAGCTCTCGGCGAGGTGCGGCGGACGAAAAACACCCAAACGCTGGACAATTTCTGGGGAGCGACGAAATCGTTCCCAAAACGCTGTTTCTCATCCCTCATGGGCAATAGGCTTTCCCATTCCTTTCCCCCACCTTCCTCCCATCGCCCCTGCCTCCCCCCCGCGCCCCCCCCACCATTGGTCCCCCCACTGCCCCCCCTCCATTGGCCCCCGTTCGGCTACATGCAAGACTGACCACAAGCAAGGCTAACTTTTGGTGCGCGGGTTGCAGGCCGTTGCGTGCGGTGCGGCGATGGCGGCCTGCGTGCTCTGGCTTGGCCTTGCAGCGCCGCCCGACAGCAACGCACCAAAGGTCACTCCGGCGAAGGGTCACTCATACCGTGCAGCCGACACCTCCCTGGCTGCCCAGCGACGCGCTGCGCAGGAGCTTGGCCTCCCGGCGCCGCTCCCGGCGCCGGTGTTCGGCATACCTCGGCGCTGGCAGCCCGTCGCCGTCGCCGTCGCCGCCGCCGCCGCCGACTGGCCGCCGTCGCCGTCGTCGTCGTCGACGACGATGTCGTCGTCGTCGTCGTCGTCGTCGTCGTCGTCGTCGTCGTCGTCGTCGTCGTCGTCGTCGTCGTCGTCGTCGCATTCGCCGCCGCTGCCGCCGCCGCCGCTGCCGCTGCCGCCGTCGTCGTCATCGTCATCGTCGTCGTCGTCATCGTCGTCGTCATTGTTGTCGTCGTCGTCGTCGTCGTCGTCGTCGTCGTCGTCGTCGTCGTCGTCGTGGTGTCGTCGTCATCGTCGTCGTCGTCGCCGATGCCGTCGCCGTGGTGCTCCAAGCTGGTGGTGCTGCTGCTCCTGCTGATCCTCGCCCTCTTTCTCTTTCTGTTGCTGCTTCCTGTCCCTCTTTCTTTCCTCTCCCTTACTCTTCTCCCCGTCGTTGTCCTCATCCTTATGCTGCTGTTTCTCCTTCTCCTCCTCTTCCTCCTCCACTTTCGTCCTCGTCCTCGCGCGTAGCCTCGGAATGAGTTCAACCGTTATACTCGTGTGCTTCAGCCTGCTGTATCATCAGTGAAATAGCGGGCTGGCCGGGGTGCGGGAGGCACTGAAGATTTTGTCTCCAAGTCGAAAGAACAGCCACCCATGTCCGCCGCCGCGTTGAAGACAGCATTGAGGCGAGCCAGCGCCTTGTCCTGGTCCACGTTCGGATCGCGAGCCGTCGCTTAAGGTACAAAGAGGTCGTTTGTGTGTGTGTGTGTGTGTAAGTGTGTAAGTGTGTAAGTGTGTAAGTGTGTGTGTGTGTGTGTGTGTGTGTGCGTGCATCCTCGCCGATCTCGAGGTGGACGCGCGTGCTGTTCTTTGCGTGGGCGAGGCCTTTCATGCGACCCTGTCGAGCCCGCTTCTCTTGTGTAATAATTTCTGAGCATCGCTGCCACCTTCTTAGTTTGGATTTCGCGCCGGACCATCTTGGGGGACTTGTCCATGCCAATGGACATCTGGGTGGCGCCCTCCCAAACAGAGGCCACGCAGAATCCTGGCAGCCCTCTGAGCGAAGATGGTGTAGCGTAGCGGATTGTTTCCTTCCCATTGCCAAGGCCCCTCCTTCCCCTGCTCGGGTGTGGGGGGTGGGGAGGTGGCAGAAGTCCCAAATGTCCACGATGGCTCTGAAAGCGCCTCAAATGTTACAAGATTGCCTCCAAGGCGGCTCACGTCACCTCATGGTGGCTCAACATAGCTTCCGTCGAACCTCGAAGAATATCCAAGACGGTGGGAACATTTTTGGGTCGGTTCTTGCTTTCTCGCCTTCTAGCTCCCAGCGGGCTTATGAGGCCCCACGATGGCCCCAAGATGAAGAAATCGGTTTTCGCCCAGTGACGATTTCGCCCGGTCGGTTTCGCCCTGGCAGCGGTTTCGCCCGATCAATTTCGCCCAGGTTTTTCGCCTGCATGGGCGGTTTCGCCCTGACGGCTTCGCCCAATTCGTTTCGCCTGGGGCAATTTCGCCTGGTTCAATTTCGCCCGGGCGCATTCGCCTGGCGATGAATTCGCCTCCGCCCAGACGGAACGGACCAAGCGGTTTTGCCCAGTCGGTTTCGACCGGTCGGTTTCGTCCGGTCCGTTTCGCCTGGTCCGACTCGCCCGGTCCGTTTCGCCCGGCCTGTTTGGCTCGGTCAATTTCGCCTCGTCGGCTTCGCGCGGGCGTTTTCCCCCGGGCGTTTTCGCCCAAACGTTGTCGTTCGGGCGTGTTCGCCCGGACGTTGTCGTTCGGGCGGAATTTCCCCCGCCCCCCCTCTCCTCGCTCTCCTGCCTCCTCCCCGTCCCTCCGTCCCTCCCTCCCTCCTGGGCCTCCCTCGTCGTCCTCCTCCCTCGTCCTGCTCGTCGGGCTCCTCGCTCTCCTCAGCGCGTCTTTTTCGTCCCCGCTCTCCTCCGCGTTCCTCTGATCGCCTCCTTTCCGGCACTCGCGAGAATGCGTCTGGGCACCTGCTCTCTCCCCTTCCCGACGCAAGTGCTCTGGGGGACCAGCACCACCATAAAATGCGCGCTTGCAAGGGAGAGGCCCCCTGGAGCACGGCGCTGAATGTTGGGCGGCGCGTGCTCCGCGGAGCCCCATCTTGCGGGGCGGAGCTGACCTTGCGAGGGCCATCGTGTGGGCCTGAGCTTGCCCCGCGGAGCCCATGCGGCGGAAAGGAGCTTGCACCGCGGAGTCCCTCTCATGGACGCCCGCGCTGTTTCGGTGCCGTCCCCCTAGATAGCCCCCGCGGGGCGATCTCCATCCCGCGCGATAAACGCGCGGATGAAGCACCATACCAGAGGCACTCCACGGGGTAAGGTCCACGGTTTGTTTCGTGAGACGGAGCTTGCCTCTGACCCGCGGGGTGACGTCACCTTTGCAAGGCGGAGCTTGCTCCGCGCGACGTCTCATGCGCCCCCCAAAAATGCCAATATGCCAATGGGGGCTGCAAGAAGGCCCCGAAAGAGCCAACAAACCTTCCCAAATGGCTCCGAAACGGTTCCGGGGGGGGGGGGAAAAAACACATCCCATAAGCTTCCAAGGAGCTCGCGGAACGAAGGTTCTGCGACGGCTTTATGGCTGACTCGTCGCTATTGCCGTCGCCTTCGTCATCGTGTCCTTCTTCCTCCGCCTTCTTGTGCTGGTTCTTCCTCTTCTTCTTTTTCCTCTCCTTCTCCTCCTCCCGCTTTGTTCTCCTCCTCCCTGCTCCGATCGTCAAAGATAGTGACCTCCCCGCCCCGAGAGGGTCCTAAGCAAGCTCCAAGAGGCCCCCCCCAGAAAAACCCAATGAAGCCGCCGCGGCATGGGAATATCGGTTACGTCATTCCACACGTGCTCCTGTCGTCTCTAGACTTCATGAGAGAAAGCAATTCTGGCGATCGTTTCTGGATGGGCTGGTGGGGATACTTTCTTGTTGCCAGCCGCAGGCGAGCGCGCCGAGGCAACCAAGCCGGCTCGTGTACTGGTGCCGACCCCAGCCAGCATTTGATCGACTCGCGAATCCTCTCGATCTTGGTACTGGTCCTCGTAGTTACCACACATATAGTCATCTGGGACCCTGCCCCGCTCCACCATGCTCTCGTCATCATTGATAGGCACCGTTGCCTCCGCGACGTGCACCTCACGCAGAATTTTGGCATACACGCACATATATACACTAGAACCACGCGCGCGCTTCGCGCGCGCTTAGGTTCAAGCGCAGGCCCAAATGCTGCCACGAGACATGGAATTCATGCCGTGTTGTGCGTTGAGGTTGGCGCCCGCTTGCGCTGTTTTCGTGGCTCCTCTGCTCCAGGAGGGGAGCAGGAAATTTACTTCCTGGACATTGGCGACATTTGTCATTTCCATACTGGGATTGGCGTCTACTCCTCCTGTCATCCTCCTCCTTGCACTGATCCATATCATCGTCCTGATCCTTCCTCTCCTCCTCGCTGTCCTCCCTCCTCCTCGTGCAGCCGTCGCCTCTCGCGCTCCTCCATCCATCCCTTCCATCCCCTCCGTGCGCCTCCTCCTACTCCTCCTCCTCCCCGTCGTCCCCGTTCCCTCCTTTCTATCCTCATCCTCCTTATCCTCTTTCTCTTTCTTCTGGTCGGGGCGACCTCCTCAGAGAGGGTTTCCCAGCCTCTTCCCCCTCCTCCTTCCCGTTCATCCTCTCCTCCCACCAGGGATCATGGAGGGGGGCGAGGGGGGGGAGAGAACGAGGAAAAAAAAGGGAGGAGGAAACAGGAGGAAGACGATGTGGGGGTTGGGGAGGCGGGGAGGACGAGGTAAAGGCGCTGCAAAGCAACGCAATGCAGCACAATGCAACGCAGTGCAAAACAATCCGAGGATCCTGACCAACCCGAGAAACCCCAGGAACCCAAAGAACCCAGGGATGGGGAGCCGAAGGAGAGATCCCGGGGAACCTGGGCTGGCGGTCGAAAGTGCCATCAGGTCCCTGCCTCAAAGGAAGGGAGGAAGGAAGAAAACAAGAAGGATGAGGAGAGAGGAAGCGAGAAGCGGGGATACGGGCGGAAGGATGGATGAGCGACGACTCAAGCAGGGGTGGGCGGAGGGAGCATGAATGGAAAAAGGGAAATGAGGCAAGCTGGGGCGGAGAAGTCGATTTTTCAGATCGTGGTTCCTCTCGTGGGCCCATCTTGAGGCTCTCCTGGGCCGTCCCGGGCGTCTCTTGGGCCGTCTCGGCGTCCCCCTGGGCCGTCTTGGGGCTCTCCAGAGGGGGTTCTTGGGCCGTCTTGGGCCGGTCTTCCAGGCCTCTTGGGCCGTCATGGCGCGTCGGAAAGCCGAGTGAACGATGAAGGCCTCCCTCCTCCCTCCTCCCTCCTCCCTCCTCCTCCTCCTCCTCCTCCTCCTCCTCCTCCTCCTCCTCCTCAGGTGAGTCCAGGGGGCGCCGTCCAGATCGTTATGTACGCCCGGCCGCCAGCCAAACAATTTCGGGAGCAAGGTTAAATGATTCCACTGGTGTGCTCGCCCCGCGAGCCACTTTGTGCTCCGACACAATGCGGGCGATAATGACGATGACAACGACCAAGGATAATCCCAAACGGCTCTAGAGCCACCGAGTATGCCCAGGCTGCCTGGACGGCCTCCAAAAGGCTCCAAAAATTTCGCCCGAATCGCCCAATATGGTTCAAAGAGCCCCGAAGATAGTTCCAAGGAGCCTTCAAGGTGGGCCCAAACATTCACCAAGTATGGTCCAAAACCGGCACCAGGTTGTCGAACATGCTTCCGAAATATTGCGCCAAAGCTGCTCCCAAAATGGTCGGTACGTGGGTCAGCCTCGGGGGCTGGCGGTACAGGGCGCAACCCTCCGGATATCGAGCCCAACGGTGAGCGCGCGCAAAAAAATTTCCAACAAAATGCGCCAACGTTTTTTTCCGTCAGCGCTCTCGGAAAGTCGGCCCAGGGCAGTCGCAGCGAACAAATCTGAAGTCGGGAGAAACGACTCGCCATGCGTTTCGCTATGGTCGCGTTGCAG